AGGATGATACTCATTTTTCGAGCTCTTAAGGAACGAAAGAACGAAGGCTAACGACCAACTTGAAGCTTCAGTTCCGGACCTCTCGATTCCGAGTTAAATACTCGACTATCGCCGACTGAGCAATCCCGCTTCTGACCAATACCTATTTGCATCTGAAGGTGGAAGATAGTTAATTTTCGCGGAACTGTAGATTCTGTGAGTTCGCAGCATGTAGACCTTATTAATGTAACGTGGCGTACCAGCCTTATCTCTGTGTATCCGACCGGTCTCCTCCCCATCATGTCCAGGCTCTCGCCTATAAACCACTAATACTATCTATTCATATCTGCCTATCACAGAATATACCGATGTAAATTGAATTATGCATAAAGTTAACCGTTTCTGTAGTGTATGACTACTAATCCTTGGCCAGCATGCCTATTATAGTATTTTAAAACGTCTGCCTGTTGGAACTGGTTACCTCGGTTCGGCAGGGCGCCCGTTGTCTCTGTAGTAAAGGAATCAAAGGGCCTTCACCTTGGTGACGACCAGTCCGCTATGTACAAGGATTTGTAAAGAGTTTCCTGAGAGTGCTTGCCTAAGACTGTTCACCAGTGACTTCATCGTTGCTTGTTTCGCAATGGCGGATTTGAATTTTCTTTCGATCCATTGATGCGTAGCGACCTGCTGATTCGCCGCGATTTCTTCGTCTATTCAGAGTGAAGTTCTAGTGTTGAGGATTTGGAAAGCTAACTACTCGGTCCGATGTAGCTAAGAAGTCTTTAAGGCTCGTCTCGACAATTTTAATTTGTTTCAGTTTGCTTGCGTACAGTTATCAACATATTTCGGTTGATGAAAACTACTACTGACTTTACCACTGCTATAATTGTGTCCGGAACTAAGAAATCGATTTCTGAAGCATACCGACGAATGGCTCGTTATTTGCTCTATTTTTCAGATGTTGCCTCATTACCCTTTTTCTCGCAGAGCCAATATTCATGGGTTGGTGTGCCGTCTGTAGACGATCATACTAATGTTTACGAATTGACCGATTTTTTTATCACTGTTTGCTGTTGATATGTGTTTATCGCCCCACAATTCTTTTGTATTGCGTTATAATTAGTCTTTTGTTCTGTATTCCAGTGGGATTACTGATGCCGTAACAAAATACTCCCATCTTCTTGCATCTGAAGATGACTGACATCTTATTCGCCTCGTAGAAACTGATCACTTTGCTTTATCAACACGAGCGTAGTGAAGCGTTAATATCTCCTCTTCTACCGTGACCGTAAACATGATGGGCTTCCTGGTATTCGAGTCTTAATTGACGAATTTAATTGAATTCATTAGACGATGAGTTTTTGCCTTTCAGCCCAAAGGAGCGAAAACCTACATTGCTCTATTCTGATTCAAGCTCTAATTCTGTTGTTGCTCTAAGGCGTTGTTTCTTTCCCTCTCGCTAAACATCCTTCACTGCGCGTCCCCATTTGACAAATGCCTTTATTACACAACGTGTCGCGTGACACACGAACACAACGCCACACAAGTCCTTTCATCAAATGTCGTCACGGTTCGCCGTTTACGAACAAAGTGCCGCCACTTAGGAATAGGCGACTTGTATGTCTCATTTTCCATGTAACACATGCGCGACGGTGATGATCGGCGATGAAGCAGCAAGAGCTACTGCTAAAGTGTTGTTGGCACATAAAACCGAAGCGAAAATGACTGAATAAACATATTTTGATTTTGGGCTTGTTTACTGCTCAGAGTTGGAGCGCGCAGTTTGCGATCAGATAGCGAAAGGTCCTTTATGTAATATATGACGTAGGGTAATGTATATTATAACTGGATATAATTCTCTATATGGTACATGATTTGTGGCCGTTGAAGGTGGCATGCCTGCGAACGTTGAAGAACGAGCAAACGGGGTACAGAAATTTTTTACCTGTGTATGTTTTCAGCAAAACTATCTATTTGTTCTCGAAGCATACAGACAAAGTAGCAAGGCTCTTTGCTCTGTCGGATGTTCCTAAAACCTAGAGCAACTTTTCACGGAATGCATAGGCAGACAGTTTGCTGAAGAAGAAATGGTAAGGAAGAAGGTGATGCCCGAAAAATATATTGCGCTCGTCAACACGTGTCAAACAATATATATATATATATACTCCTGGAACCTCTTGGTCATCACTTCAGGAGCTTTTATGACGCTTCAAGAAAGCACCTGACAGGAAGATATGGTATCACCAGAGTTATTCACAACAGTTTTAATGAGGTTTTAAATAACTCCTTTTGGAAAATTACCTGTTGCGCATAAATAGGCATTCCTTAAATCATCTGCGATTTATGGATGGCATTCTGATCAGCCAAGGTTACCAGAAGAATTCAACAGCTGGAGATGAAAAGAAATAATCGAAGTGCTACTGAAAATGAATCTCAAGAAAGCCCAGGTCATATTTTAAAAAATATGCGACCTCAGGACCTGCTTAGATCAACCGATTTGGGCTTGAAGAAGTGCAGAACAGCTCATCATCTTTTCGGAGGAAAACCAAATATGGGGAAATCAAGAGATGGTTCAAAATGGCATGGAGCACTTTTGGAAAACTGAAAATGTTTGAATCTAGGGCATTGCAATTGCACTTGAAACGGAAAGTTTTCGCTCAGTTTGGGTTGCTAGTGGCAGTCTGTGTATGCGAAGCATGAATCCTAAGCGTCAAAGCCATTCATAATCTGCAGACTACGCATGTGAATGACATGAAAAGACAGAAAACGAATGAATGGGTTGAATGGAAGAAAAGGACAAACAAGAGTCTGCGGTTTCATTTTCCGAGTGGAAAACTTCACGTAACATTGCGAACGATTCGTCGTAAAAAAGAAGATCGACCGTCAGTGGATCCGAGAGGTTAAGCTGAATTACGGTAGCGAATAAACGACCCGTAGTAAAGCCTGTAAATGGATCGCAGCTGCTGACCTATGGATGTGAAACGGAAATCTGTCCATCAGCTAAAGACGTGGAAGCGCTGCATGTCTGTTGGAAACAAGAGAACACAGACGAATCAGTGGATAAGAGGACATACAAGAGTCTGCTCTGTGACTGCTCGAGTTAAGAACTTAACGCGGCAATGGGAAGAACACGTTGTAAGAAGAACCGACCTTCGATGGGCTGTGAGGATGTTGCGCTAGATTCCATGATAAAATAAATTGCCAGCAAAAAGACGTGCTTATCGATGACTGCATGAGCTGAAGTAGTTCGCTGAATCAAGATGAATGAAAATAAAGATGGCAGAAGTTTATAAAAAACTGGTTGAGAGGCCTCCATCCAGCGGTAGATACGAAAATGTAATTACAATATATACTATGTATGGTTAATATATTTACATAATCAATAGAAAATGTTTTTTTGTAGTTTAGATAGGAAGAATCTGCAAATATGCATTTAAGCTACATGAAAATAGATACTTTGTGTGTTGTTTATGTATCTGTGTCCTGTCTTTAGATGTC